CAGTGGCAGGCTCTGACATCAGCAGCAGCCTGTGCCCGATCCTGCAGTCTCCCCATACCACCTCCTCCCCGTCACGACGGACATAATTCTCCCCAGGACAGCAATGGCAGGGCCTTGAACGTGATCTGCCTGGCCTGTCCCGTGGTAACCCCTCCCCTCCCCACCGAGAGGCACGTGTGCACGAGGGCGCACGTGGGCCAGGACGAAGGAGAAGCCTGTGGCGGCTAGCCTGCTGCCTTCCCCCCGGGCCCTCCGACCTCTTTCCACGCCGCTGGCTCGGGCCGGAGACAAACAAGAGGCCAAGGCTCTCCCTCTGGTGCCAGCTTCCCTGTGACTCTGAGAGGGCTGGAAACAAAGCCCACAGGCAGCGTTCCTAAGTCAGAGTCAGCTCCCCAGCTGCTCCCTCTAGAGAAGGAGTAGGAACCTGCCGTGCGCCGCCGCCGCCGCCGCCGGGAGCTGAGCGCTGGGAGGGCAGGGGAACCAGCCCCAGAGACGAGACAGCAAACACGCGCATGCCATGACACAAATCAGGATCGAGACAGCCCCTCTAGGGGGACCCACAGTAAGGGACAAGCCAGTTTCAGAAGGCTGGGTGGTTAAGGCCTCACAGCTAATGCGGGCGGCGGGCGCGGGGGCCCTGGAGGGCAGGCCAGGCCGCCAGGCAGCCACTGCTCGGAGCGGAGCCCGGGACAGGCGTTTCTCCGGGTCGCTAGCCGCATCCCACTGTGCCAGCACGGCCTGAAGGGGGCGTGTGGGACTCAACTGTTCCCTCTGGACACTAGGCACCCGGCCTGGCTCCAGGCAGGTCCTGTCCGTTTCGTCCTTTCTAGAGTGAGGGGGACAGCAAGAGCTGGTGGGGGCCCTTCCCTCCATCTCCGTGCAGTGGTGACAGGACACGGAACTCTCTCACCTGGGGGGCAGGCCCAGGACCAGGGCCAAATTCAATGTGATTCTCTCGACCCCCGACCTTCTTGTCAGGTGAATCCAGCTCAGAAGCAACCTCAAGGTCAACCTTAAGAGGGAAAGATGTCATTGGAGACCAGCATGCAGACTGGAATGAGATCCCCCTCACTGGGCCTGGACCGGAGCGTGGGAACTGCAGAGGAGAGACTGGGCCTCTCGCGAGTCCCCATTCAGACCACGGGGCCCCCCAAAGTGGAAAGACTGGGCTGGGCACCCCAATACCCTGTCTTTTGAACCTTTCAGCTCATGCCAGGCCCTATGTTACTCGGGAAAGCATGAAGAAGGGCGTGGGGCATGGCCAGGCCCAGGCCCCCTCTCTCTGTGTCTCTGGCCCTGTTCTCCCCTCTGCTCTGTGAGCTGACAGGACTCAGCCCTGAGGTGTCATCCTTGCTACAGAACTAACCCCTGAGACGGGAACTGACCCTAAACAGGGCTTTGGTAAAGGCTGTTGATAGAAATGGATGCATCAGCAATTGAACAGCTGAACACACGAAGTGTCGGGGGGCTGCAGGAGGAGCCGTGAAAAGATGGGCTGAAGGTTGTCATCCCAGACCTGCTGCCGACCAGCTGTGTGACCTTGAACAGCTCATTTCCACCGTCAGTTGAAATGCACAATGTGAGAGCTGTGACTTTTCAGTTTTGTTTGGAGACTTACCGAGGTCTGTAGCCCAGGAGCCAGCCTCCCAGCTCTGAGGAACTGCTCTGAAGAATGTGTGAGTTACGTGAAGAGGGTATGTGCAACCAAGCACATGTCTCAGGAGAAGGTTGCTGCTAGTCACGAGGAACAGGTATCTCGTTTAATGATTTTAGTGCTTTATTAAGTAAGGGAAGATGCAAGAGTCCGGGTTCACAAAAGTTTTCTCCTGAAAATCTCTAACTACCTGAGGGCCAGTTCTGCCAGTTTTCCCAGAGCTCGGTCTTCGCCCTGAAGTCCTTCTAGGGGTAACTATAGGTCAGCGACTGCAGGGGCTGTAGAACTGGATGGTGGGCAACATTCCTCAGTTGGCAGTACCCTCCCCTTGGTCATAGTTTTGACCAAGGTTTAGGAGGCATTTCACGACCAATTTGTCCCACGGCGCTAGGAAGGCTCATTCTTAGGTCTGGTGAGGATTTCGCTGATATAGGCCACTCAATGTGCTGTTACTGAACTTGGCCCATCACAGTCTTACTAGTCTGTTATAGTTTCTCTCTTACTGCTTCTTCCCATATCTAGGGTTACACTGTTACAATCATTGATCTTATGTAGAACTATTCATCTGGTTAATCAAGTCGCCTAGTTGTCATTATTTTCATTGGAGGGTCCTTCTATACAGGTTGGAGAAAATCCTTTAAATGATATATTTTCTAGTATATGTAATCTTGTTACAGGTCATGGGGCATCTGATCTTCATCCAAGGATTACTGTGATAAGCTCCAGAAACAAAATTACAATGTCCTTTTAATAATTCAATTAAACTTCACAATAATGTAACGAGGAGCCAACAAAAGAAGTGAGCCTTGGGCAGTAAGTACAAACTTGGAAGACAACTGACAACATTAGAACTTAATATCCACTAGAACTTTTTTTTTCTCTAAAATCACCTTCATTTCTACCAAATATAGCCCAATTAAGGCTAATTTGTTTGCAAAATAAACTTGGCCTGATTATTTACATAAGTGTAATTGATTATATAGGCTCTTCTAAATTGTTTTTCCTGGAACTTTTCATAAGGAATTTCAGATTGAACTTTTAAAAGGCCTCTCAAGTTGAGCCAGGAAAGCCATGCCAAGGGCTTGCCATTAGATTCCGCCACAATAACTATAGATTTGGGTGAATTCCTCTCTTCTCAAGGTCTCCAAAATACCTTGACATTCTTGCACCTGCCAGGAGTTGACCTTCCTTATTCACCTGATAAGGCTACTGGGAACCTGAAAGTTTCCACTTTCTGGAGGGATCAAGTAGAAAGAAAAGATAAATGTTTCAGTTCTGCTTACAGAGGTCTAATTTACCAAGGTGCTATAAGTCATACTTAGCTTAAGGTTTCCTTATACCTAGAAAACAAAGATTAAAAGCCAGTAATACTTCTGACAAAAAGTCATAAAAATTATAACCATATTCATCAGTTATCAGTCATATATTACTAATTTTTTAAAATAAGTTTATTTATTTATTTATTTTTGGCTGCGTTGGGTCTTCGTTGCTGTGCACCGGCTTTCTCTCGTGGCGAGTGGGGGCTACTCTTTGTTGTGATGCGCAGGCTTCTCATTGTGGTGGCTTCTCTTGTTGCGGAGCACGGGCTCTAGGCATGTGAGCTTCAGCAGTTGTCACACGCAGGCTCAGTAGTTGTGGCAGACGGGCTTAGCTGCTCTGCGGCATGTGGGATCTTCCCGGACCAGGGCTCAAACCCGTGTCCCCTGAATTGGCAGGCGGATTCTTAACCACTGCGCCACCAGGGAAGCCCTGTAACTAATCCTTGATCTTGATCCTTTAACAGTTTTATTAAGCCATCAGGGTTTCCACTAGAATTCTTTAATTTCTTACCCAGTTCAGTGGTTAGTTCCCAATTAAGTAAGTACTTGTTAAGGTAAGTTCCGTATGTATTTTACATCAATCTGGCTGGGGTGTTAGTCAGTGGTTGGCTTTCTGACACCCCCTAGTTGGCCTAATTGAGAAAAGACATTTGGCCAGCCTCACACCTAGTCACTCAGTCCAGACCATTCAGTGTCTTTCTGGAGGCAGAACTGGGCGTGGGGGGCACTCCCCCAGTATCTTTCAAATGGGCGTCAGGTACCTGTTATACACCACCAAATAAAACTCAGGATTATCAACTAATTATTGGGAGATCTGAGAACCAGGAGAAACTCACCCAAATTCGTCTGGACTCGCTGAGGAGGTGGATGGGAATAAAAGGCCCTTGCTGCTACCAAGGTTCTGAATCCTCATAGTGTTCATTCAGACAGAGGAGAGAAGTTAGCTCTGTGCTCCTTCACGGTCAGCAAAACTGTCGACTGAAAAAAAACGTACAAGACAGCTGTGAGTTTCAGTTCTATTGGGGGACTTACTGAGGACTATAGCCTGGGAAACAGCCTCGCAGATAGCTCTGAGGAACTGCTCTAAAGAGGGAGAGGTACGGGGGACGCTGGCTTATGTGTGATTTAGGGGAAGGGTACCTGCACTCAAGCACACATTTTGGTAGAAGGTTGCTCCTGGTCACAAGCAACGGGTTTCTCTGTTCATGACTTTAGTGCTTTTCTAAGTGTGAGAAGATGTAAGAATCCAGATTCATAAGAACTTTCTAAAGCATTATAATATTGGTAACTAAGGGCTCACTTTGCCTGTTTCCCCAGAGCACAGTGTGCCTCATCCTGATCACCTTCCTGAAGTCCTTTCAGGGTGTCCTGTAGGTCAGCGACTGCAGGGGCGATGACTTGATTCTTGCAGAACCGGGGGGCGGGGGGGAAGGAGCGCCGTTCCTCCCAAGGCTTCGGGCCCCTCGTCCTGGGGCTGGGTGGCCTCTGCCAGCTCTGCCTGCCTGTACCCTATCAGAAGCCCTGGGTGCTCTCCCAGGGCAAAGCTTCTCCAAGCCTAGTGTACAGTTCACAGAATACCTTCATGGCCATCACCTGGGAAAATTTTTCTTAAATACAGGTTTCAGAGCCTCAATTCTAGACTTGTTAAATCTGGAATTTCTGAGCATGAGGGCTACAAAGCTGCATTTTAAACAGCTTGCTGCTTGAGAACCACTGTCACATGTGCATACTTTTTTCTAAATTGCCTTGACCTCTGCTGCTCCTTTTTTTCTCTCCCCTCCATCCAGCCTGGTCAGGCACCAGCCTCCCAAGCCCTTTCCCCACCCCCACCCGCACTCCCCGCAAATGGCCAAAGGCTCCTTGTGAGGCAATCCTTCTATCCTTGGTGCCTTCCTTTACACGATGAGTGATGACTTTTTTATCTCCTGATGATGAAACACAGCCTTCAGCTGGAGGCATTTAAGGCGCAGGACGCACGGTCCGGCCGCGGCTGCAGGACCCAGAGGCCAACCCTGACGGCCCAGGAGAGGAGCCAAGAGCACCACCACCAGCCTCCACGCCTGCCCCACCACCAGGGAACCATGCTCCTCGCCACATTTAAGCTGTGCGCCGGGAGCTCCTACCGACATGTGCGCAACATGAAGGGTGAGCTCCTGGGGCCCCCCTGTCCGGCCGACCAGGAGCCCGCAGGCAATGTCTAGTGGGGAAGGTGTGGGCCTGGGGGGCGGGGGACAGGCCACTCAGGCCCCAGGGGTGCCGCTCACTGGGGGAGCCCGTGCAAGCCTTTCCCCTCCCATACCTCAGTGTCCCCCGCGCTGAAGAACGCAGCTGGATACGAAGGTTCCTGGGTGCCTTGCAGACTCTGTCATCCCCGGGCTCCCCTCCAGGGCTCCAAGCTGTCTTAGCTTCTTCCTGACTCTGCCTGTCTCTAGGATGGGTACCAAGGGTGCCAGGGAAGTCCAAGCTGCGGTGGCAGAGGCAGGAGTCAGCCTGGACTCCAGGAAGCTATGTTGGCAAGCCTGAGGCAGGGCAGGCAGAAGACGGGACAAAGGACAAGAAAGGGGAGTAAGACAGCCGAGGAGCACATAGAGAGAGAAGGTGGGTGGGGTGGGGAGTCTCGCTGTCATCAGTCAGGAGGCGGAAACCAGGGTCACTGGAGTCAGTCCCCTGCTATCGCTGAAGGGACCACAGACAAACCTAAGCAAGTCCTTTCTAATTACATTGGGCTCAGGTGGCCACTGTTTAGATGGAAGCTGCACTTGGAAAGACCTGTACCCGGCGTGGGGCTGTTCTCTCTAGATCAGCGGGAACGCCCGGGCACACGGAGCAGTTACTCACGCAGAGGCCACACAGACCTCAGGGGACAGGTGTCTGTAATTCCCCTTCTGTAGCAGGACAGGTTGTTCAAAGCTTCTCTCCTTTTCAAGAAGGAAACTTCAGCAAGCTTGAGTGTGGCCCCTGCCTCCAGGCCCGGCCCACCCAGAAGGCAGGCAGGTTTCTGGCCCTGGAGTCATTCCTGATCCAGTCACTTTCTGCCCCAGGCCAGCTTCCTCCTCTGGGATGAGATGAAGGGGTGGAACATTCTCTGAGGGGCTTTTCTGCTCCTAAGCGACAGTTTCCCTCCCTTCCCTGCAGGGCTGAGGCACCAGGCTGTGCTGGCCATCGGCCAGGAGCTGAACCGGAGGGCCCCGGGGGCCCCAACCCCAGCTGCCTGGATTAACCAGGTTCGGCGTAGCGGCTCTCTGCTTGGTAAATGCTGAAGCTTCTGGGGCTTCTACCAGCGGCGGGGGGCTCCAGGTGGGGGGGGCAAACGATGTGCATGTAGCTCTGGTCCCTCCCCCCACATCCCCCAAGCGTCCTCACTCACCTTGATGGGAATAGCGTTGTTCATGGCTAGACCCCCTCCCTGTCCCATGTCTAACTTAACCTGCAGGCTGAACCATATGGCTTTGGTCTGGGCTCTTCAGAGATGAAAGGGGTGAAAGCTCGCGGGAGGCTAGGAAGCTCAGTGTTTCCGTGGCTTTGTGTCCAGGTTCTCAGCTGGAAGACACTCTCTACAGCGACCAAGAACTGGCCTATATCCAGCAGGGAGAGGAGGCCATGCAGAGGGCCCTGGGCATCCTCAGTGACCAGGAGGGCTGGAAGAAGGAGAGCCAGCAGGTAAGGGTGGGTGCGGAGGAACCCACAGCTCCTCGCGGGCCATGCTCAAGGCCAGCTGGGGTCTCTGCTCCTCTCAGAAGTCCGGCCTTGTGCAACAGTCACGGGGTAGCAAGCAGTTTTGAGAATTCTTTCCCAAGAATATATCCCAAGATACCCCTCTACCCCAACAAAGATGTCCTGGAGACTCGCGTTTGAGAAACGTTGTTCCTGTATCCCTAGCTCCCCTCCAAATGCACTGTACACCCATTCAGACCATGCAAAACGGGGACTCCAGGGGCAGCAGAGGCCTCATCCCCCGGAGTCAGAAGTTCCAGTGCTGAAGCACAGTGTCTGTGCTGTTAGCCCACCTTATGGCTGACCTCGCAGGGGTGACCTGGGCTCACCGTCAACAGGGCTGGACTGGGATACAGGTGGCCCAAGGCCCTCTGGGGCACTCTGCTCCTGAGCACTGCCCCTTCACTGGGAGCTGGAAACAAGGTGTGTGTTAAAGGCCAACGGCTCTACCGAGGCTTTGGCAGCTTGATCTTCACCAAAAGCTCACACTCTGCCCATTGGCCAAAGTTCAGGTGAGATCTTTCCTTCTCCAAGTTCTCAGAGTTAACAGACTACAAGTTTGCGAGTTGGGAAATCTGAGATCTAGGCCCAGCAATGCTCTTAGCTAAGGGTCCTGGGGCATCTCACTGACCTTCTCTGGCCCTACATCCCTCTGGTGTAAAATGAGGGACTGGACTTTTAAAAAAAAAACCTATGTGTGAAATTAGCTGGTTGTAAACCACCTTCCCTGCTCCCAGGTGCGTCTCTTTCAGGATCTTTGAGCTTCTGAAGTCAAGTAAGGGCCTTCTCAGGTGGCCCTTACCCACACCCGTCAACATTTACACCCAGGAAGAAAGGGCCCAGGGAATAGGCAGGTTACCTCCCCAGTCCTCAGCAGATGTACGAGGCAGGCAGCAGGAAAGATGACCTCCTCTACCTTAATCAGAGATGGTTCCAGGCTTACTCAGGCTTAGCCTAGAGTTCCCCTGGCTGTTCCCCTCCTGCCTTGCCTGGCACTGTCTACGTGTCCTAGGCCGGGAATATTTTTTTCTAACCTTTCCCTTGGGGCTCCTCTCTTCCCTGCCGATAGGCGAATGGGGACGAAGTGTTGAGTAAAGTGATCCCAGACGTGGGCAAGGTGTTCCGGCTGGAGGTGGTAGTGGACCAGCCCATGGAGAGGCTTTACGAAGAGCTCGTGGAGCACATGGAGGCCATGGGCGAGTGGAACCCGAATGTCAAGGAGATCAAGGTGGGGAGGCCCAGGCGGAAGGATGGCCACAGCAGTCGGGAGGGGGCTGTAAGCTGCAGTGTGCCTCGGCCCCCCACCTGGCTGAGTAGTGACTCTGGTTCTCTGTGGCCTGGCAGGTCCTGCAGAAGATTGGAAAAGACACAGTCATCACTCACGAGTTGGCCGCAGAGGCGGCAGGAAACCTTGTGGGGCCCCGAGACTTCGTGAGTGTGCGCTGTACCAAGCGCCGGGGCTCCGTGTGTGTGCTGGCTGGCATGGCGACACACTACGGGGAGATGCCCGAGCAGAAGGGCGTCATCAGGTAACACTGGCAGCAGCCTCAAAAGCTCCCTTTTTTAACACAGGCTGGGGACATGCATCTGCCAAGTGTGTGATGCATCCCCAGCTCTAAGAAACCAATCCTTGGTTCCTACCCTCAGCTACCTTTCACAGAGGAAGTCTCATTTTCCATCGCAGTGCGGGGAAGACTGGCCACACTTACATAACCAGTTTGTCCTGACCTTCCCCCCAAGTTTAAGAACCTTAGTAATTTTCTAAAACAAGAAGCAGGGCTGATGGGAGAAAGTGAGAGTGGCATGGACATATATACACTACCAAATGTAAAATATAAAGCTAGTGGGAAGCAGCCGCATAGCAGAGGGAGATCAGCTCGGTGCTTTGTGACCACCTAGAGGGGTGGGATAGGGAGGGTGAGGGGGAGACACAAGAGGGAGGGGATATGGGGATATAAGTATACATATAGCTGATTCACTTTGTGATACAGCAGAAACTAACACAACAATGTAAGGCAATTATACTCCAATAAAGATTAAAAAAAAAAAGTAGGACTGAGGTTTAGCTGGTATGCTCAGGTCCCACTGTAATGTTGATTAAAACAGAACCCATACCACTTAGAACAGTTGCTACCTGAGTTTCCCAGGGGCCCCAGCACCACCCTGGACCCTTCCTTGACCTCCCCATCATCCAGCAACTAAAAGGCACCGCAGGAGGCCTCCAGGCTTCAGCTCCAGCTCCAATCAGCATTTGTTCTGATGAGCTAGTAACCGTGCCAACTGTTAAATGTCACCCTTGGAAAAGGACACTTCTCTAATGAGATCTGGGAAGACTAGTCAGCGTTCGAGAACTCGGCCTTGTCCCCCTGACCTGACGTGTCTTCACCCGGCAGAGCTGAGCATGGCCCCACCTGCATGGTGCTCCATCCCCTGGCTGGAAGCCCCTCAAAGACCAAACTCACCTGGCTGCTCAACATTGACCTCAAGGTAAGGGGTGGGGTGTGTGTGTGTGTGTGTGTGTGTGTGTGTG